TTGAAATAAATATGCTAAAATGGCAATTACAGCTTAGCTCCAYATTATTTTGTGGGGTTTTAATATAATTTCTGACAATCTATGTTAAAATTACAGTTTGCCTCTCAATCCCAATGAAAGAGCACGATTGTGTGCAACTTGTAAATTAAAAATGACCACTGCTCACTATTTCCAAACCAACCACAATGTTGCCACTTCTTTACTACACTGAAAAAAGTTTTTTGTGTGTAATAACATTTCTTTGATTGTTCTTTTAAATTTTTAGAAAAAAAAATCAAAATCTCTAAACTACTAGAATTTACTAAATAAACAATACGCATTATATTATATATCAATAGTACTGAACAAAAAAGTAAATGCTAATATTATTTTTGATCAAGTATATGTTACAAGATTTAATTGAGCAAATTAAGTAAAATTTACCTGATTTATTCACAAATCTTTAACTATATTCTCAAGAACTTTAACTAGATAATGATGAGTAAATATTACATGAATTTGTAGCATTTAAATGTACTTAAATGTTAGTGCAAATTTGTTAGAGGATTTTTTTTCAAGTACAACTTACAAGTTATTTTTTTCAGTGTAGTTTAATATAATACAACAAATTGACGTAAAGCCTCCCTCTAACCTGTRCGCAGAGAACACACTCTCACTGGAGCAGCCTTTTCAATGCCTGCCTCCGCTTGATCATTCATCTGTAGTCCCATCTAATCTAACTCTGACTGGTTTTCAAAAGATTCCGTTATCTCTGGAAATTTTGCAGCTCTCTAACAAACGTCTGGAGACGCTGGCCTCATATCTGCAGTCTATCTGCCCTGCTCAAGATCCAAAGGCTGGCTGGAGTTAGAAAACCTTATAAATAATTTATGATCCTTAACTTTTTTTACACATTCCACCAGAACTCATTTGCCGAAGCCAGGTCAACATGCATGCATTAGACACAACATTAAACAGTTCTGTTTTATTCGCATAAGGGGCTAGGCGATTTTTCCCCCTCCACATTTTTAAAGAACTCATACAGAATTGAAGGATTCTAATTTCACCATGTTCCAGTGATTTGCAATAACAATGTGTTTGAGACATGCAGTGGCCTGTTCCCTTGCATTCCTACAATTAAGTGGGTTTGTTTACCACCAACACCTCAGTAAGCGCTACCAGATGGTGGACAAGCTTGTGGGTGTGGCAATAATCCACATAGTTAGTGCTACACTCTTTTTTTCTTCAAATTGAGACTTTTCAAATTTTTTTCTCATTGAATAAGTTTAATGACAGTATAATGCATGAATACTATACTTATTGATCCATCCTGTGCAAAATAAAGATGTATTTTCATTACTCAGCCCAATACAAACTTTGTAAAGACATAATCAGGCAGTGTGGCAGGCTTTGGGCCAACTCTATGAATCCATTTTATTTTACCGAACAAGCAGCTCAGCGTGTTTTAGYGATGATGGGGAACATGCAACTGAGCATCATTTGTTTTGTAAAATGTTTGATTATATCATTTAACTTGTGACTTTGTGCATTTCTTTTAAAAATGTGTTAACTCAAATATTAACGGTTTCTTTTTTTCCTCCAGCCACTTCAGTAGAAAACAGAACTGAATG